TGGATGGATGGATGGATGGATGGATGCTGATGCTCCTGCCTTGGCGCCACCTCTTCCCTCCAGGTTACTGTGTGTCCCATGCCTTGGGGAGGCCTCTCACCCACTGCAGATAAGATGTCCTCTTAAAGAGGCTCAGAGGACTGGTGAAGGGGGAGGCACCTTAATTCAGGAAAACTCAGACAGAGGGGCCAGACAGAGGGGCCGAAGGCCAGGGCCACAATTCAAGACAGAGTGTAGGACCTTGGCCTTATTCACAAAACCCCTACATGACAAAACAACGGGCCTCTTGAGCCCAATCAAATAGGTCCTACTTGATCCATTCTGTCTTCCAAGGAGTATTAGGACCTACAGATCAGCTCAGGTGGCAGAAAGGCTTCAATTCTTGATGAATAATTCACAGCGAGCTACAGAGCAGCTCCCTGTGTCCCTGGGTATTCTGTCCCAGCCACACCTGGGCTCGGGGTGATCCCAGTAAGCACAGGAGGGAAGGGGACCCCTGTGGGCCCAAGGGGAAGAAGTAAGAAATGAGAGGGCAGGGGACAGGAGAGGCACGGAGGACAGGAATGGGGGGCAGGTCCCCATGTCTTGAGGGCCCACCTCCAACTGTGTGCTCAGGTAGGATGTGTCTAGAAAACAGGCCAGCAGGTGTCCTGCAGGTAAAAGCCTGAGAAAGCCGAACGGAGGGAAGTGTCCGCGTGTGGCCCCGTGTCTGCAGGTCAGCCAGGCCCCCCCCCCCCAAGCTGCACCTTGTCTAACCTTCCCTCTTCTTCTGCGTCCACCCTGCCACGCTGCCCTACAGGCCCCTTCTTAGCCGCCACCCCCCACCCTCCCTGACCCACGGCTCCTCCGACCTGGCCGGGCATGCAGGCTGCCCGGCAAAATGCCCTGCCGGACACAGAAGGCAACAGGCCCAATCCAGCACTGCTGCCAGTGCTTGCGCTGAGTCTCCAAAGGCCGCCTGGCCTATCACGCGGGGCCCTCACCCCAGTGACTTCTCCCCCCTGGCCGAGCACGTTCTATGGAGCGTGGGACACATGCAGGGGATGGGTCTCAGGACAAGGCCCTGGCCACTTCCGCCTTCCCAGCACCTGGCTCTGGGCCTGGCCCTCCCCACACTGGGTCAGGCTGCCGTGGGCTGGGAGCCCCCTCCATGAGAGGCCTCTGTTTGGGGGGGGGGGCAGCTGCATGACAACTGCCGGACCACACAAAGCGAGGATTGTGCCCAGGAGCAGGTGGTGAGGTCTGGGGGCAGGGGAAGGGCTGTGCTCTCAGCAGATCCTGGGGGTAGGGAGGGGAGTGGACAGCAGCTGGGGGGAAGAGAAAGGCCACAGATGGGAGGGGCAGTGCAGGGACATGGCCACGGCTCCCCACATCCTCCCAACCTCAGGCCCCTGGAACTTTTCCACCAGACAAGCACAGCCTTCTTCACAGATCAGGCCTCAGGCAGGACAGGGGAAGTGAATGGCAACTCATGTGTCCTTGGTCAGTGGTGGATCGGGGCGTGGCCACATGCACCCACCAGGAGCTGAGGCTTGGAGGGGTGGCATCTCCCCAAACCACGGCCAAAGGGCCCAGCTCCCAGGCCCTTCTCAGCCATGAGCTCCCACCCGGCCCACACCCAGGTCCTCACCAGTCACCACTGCTCCCCTACACCAACAGCCCCTTGCCCCCACAGGAAACCCCGGGCAGGGGGTCCTCTTCCCAAAGTGCCCCCTGCACATCAAGCTGACCCCCTTTGCCACACCAGCAAGGTTGCCATGCATCCCGAACGGCCTACCTTTCCATTAACCACATCTTTCCCACCCCTCAGCTGGTCTGACCCCACCTGGTCCACAGTGCATGGCCCACCCACCCAGTCTCCCACTCTCGGCCCCCATGCTCTAATCTGTCTGGCTCGCTCCCAGCTTTCTTTCCTAGGGGGTTCCTGGTTCCCTGC